TCAGAGAAAGGTACCTCCTTCTTTGATGACCCGTTCTTTCCACTGGGATCTCACTCGCAGAGATCTTTCATTTAGGTTTTTTTTTTCCCCCCCAGAGTGTCTTGGCTTTCCATGCCTGAAATACTCTCATGGGCATTTCAGCCGGATCCGCATGCCTTAAGGGCTGATTATGAGGCCAGAGTGCTGTTAGGACATTTGCCATTCTATGGGTCTGCTGTGTATCTCACTTCCCATGTTGGATCGTTCTCTCCCTTTTTGATTCTGTCAGCTAGTATTTGCAGACACTAGTCTTGTTTATGTGATCCCTTTGGTTCTTAGTCCTATCATTATGATCAATTGTGAACTGAAATTGATCACTGGGACTAGTGAGATGGCATTGGTACATGCCACCTCGATGGGATTGAATTCGAATCCCCTGGTATGTTTCTAACTCTACCGTTTGAGGTAAGTCAGCTTGAGCATGTCCCGAATTGCACATCTCTTCCCTCTCTGATTCCCACTCTTATATTTAACAGCGATCACTTTTCAGTTAAGTTTCAGCACTTAAGAAGAATTGTGTATTGATTACAGTATTCAACCAAAAGTATTAAGTAGAACAAACAAAAAAAAATACTAAGAGGGATAACATATTAAGCTGTTCATCAACAGTCAGGGTGAGGGCTGAATATAATAAAAGAAACTTCACCTTAGCAAAAGTGCCAAAATTATTTAAACAATTTGTAAGTTATTTCCATACTTATCCTATGCTATTTTTAGGTACTTAAATCTAATATGGAGAGTCCTTATTCACAGTAGAGTTCTATATAGCACAAATATGCCACCACAAAGGCAAAAATAATTCTTAGCTAGAAGACAAGATATATTTGGAAGTCCTTGGTACCAACTGCATCTTAGACTTTGACATGTTCCTGAGACCAAGAACAGAAGCCTAACCAATGAGTAATGAGTTCTAAAATCTTGACCCCCCATTGGTCCCTGTGACCCAACAGCCCTTTTCTCGTAAATCTACTCATCATAACTAAGAACTCAAAACCCAGCACACTGCTCTTACTGTCTCCAGTATCAGAATGACTCATTGGAGACTTACATAGACTTTTCATTAATTTTCCTGAAAATCTGTTATTTTAGAACACATCAAGTTACAAGAATGCAGTAGGACAAAAAGGAACTATATTGTATGTTTCTAGTTTTGTGTAAAGTTTGCATAAAAAAGAAAGGTAGGATAGGTGTTGTAGAGTAGTGAGTTAAGCTACCACTTGGGACACCCACATCCAATATGAAGACAAAGGGAAAAAAACAGTCATCTTAAGTCAAAGAATCAGGCCTTTAGAAAGAATCAACCCTGCAGCTGACACTTATTCTACCCTCCAGAATGTGAGGAAATAAATTTCTGTTGTTTATGCCACCTCATCTATGGTATTTGTTATAGCAGCCCTAGAAAACTTACACACCATTTATACAGTGCATGCCAATAGAGACAGTGCAAGCATCCAGGGCAATATGCTAAGCATATTATTCCATTGACAGGATTTTAACATTTCAAGTTATTTGATTTTTTTTTAGATTTATTTTATTTATTTGAAAGGCAGAGTTGCAAGGGGAAGGAGAGAGAGAGAGGAATAGATGAAGATAGGGATCTTCCATCTGCCGGCTCACTCCTCAAATGGCCTCAATGGCCAGGGCTGGGCTGGGCTAGAGCCAGGAACTTCATGCATGTCTCCTGCATGGCTGCAGGTACCCAGGGACTTGGGTTGTCTTCTTCTGCTTTCCCAGGCACATTATCAGGGAGCAGGATGGGAAGTAGAGCAGCTGGGACATTAAAATGTTCCCCATATGGCATGCCAGTGTTGCAGGTGGCAGCTTAACCTGTCACACCACAACAACACCCCTAGGTTAGTTGTTTTTAATGGCAATATATCCACATTTGAAAGTTTAAATACATAAGATTGTGTTGTGAAAAAAAAATCCCTTACCCATATTACCAGATTATCCAGTTCCCTTCTGGACATATCAATGTTATTTGTTTCTTGTGTTCCTTTCTGAAGATATTCTATGCATAAAACCAAGTATGTGTATACATATTTATATAGTCCTCCAGTTGTTTACTATAGACATTATACTACCTCTTACATACATTTTTAATAAGATACCTTGGAGATTGCTTTTCTATGGAAAGACTTAATCAAAGACTGCTTGTTCTAATTGCAAAAAAAAAAGTATATATGACATACATGAAATATGTACCCTTTATATAAATAAATAACAGAACATAAATTATATTTTTAAAACAAGACAGTATAGAGAAAATGATAGATAAGAAGGAACGTTTAACTTTAAACTTTCTATTTGAAATTAGTAAGAACAAAATTTAGAAAGAAAGTATTAAACTCAAGAAAGATTAAACAGAGCAAAATAAAAGAGAATGAAAAGGAGGTAAAAAAGCAAAATTTTATAAAGAAACAAGTGATCATATACAGATCTCAGCAAACCAAAATTATATTTATCTAGTTATTAATAAAATAGTAATACCTCTGAGATGGCTGCTCATGTACAGGAAAAAAAGAAAAGCTAAATGAACTAGAATTAAACGTTGAAATGCACCGGGGCCAGTGTGTGGCATAGTAGGTTAAGCCTCCACCTGTGGCACTGGTATTCCATAAGGATGCCAGTTTGTGCCCTGGTTTTTCCTCTTCCAATCCAGCTCCATTACTATAGCCTGGGAAAGCAGTGGAAGATGGCCCAAGGCCTTAGGCCCCTGTACCCACATGGGAGATCAGGATGGAAGATGCTGGCTCCTGGCTTCAGATCATTATACTATTATACATATACATAGTATATATTATACTATTATACATATAATGTATACTACTATACATTATACAGATCAGCACAGCTCCAGCCATTGTGGCCATTTGGGGAGTGAACCAGTGGATCCAAGATTCTCTCTCTCTCTCTCTCTTTTCCTCCTCCTCTCTCTGTGTTTGTGACTCTGTCTCTCAGATAAATCTTTTTAAAAAAAGAAACTGAAATGTATCAACAATGAAAGTATAGATATCTGAAATCATATATAAAACAATACTACATATGGCAAATGGATGCATGCCACAACCACATATAAAAACATGTAACATTTATAAGCTTTCAATGTGAACATTGTTCTGTGCAGGGAAGGTGAGAAATCAGGCAGAAGGAAACTTTTGCTATAATTACCATGGTTTATTTCATAACAAATGAGGAAAATTATTTATTTCCAGGGGGAGGGCGGGTTAGTGGATTTTTGACACATGTTCTCTTTGTGTTTGGATAATTTCTTTAGAAATTAAAAAATACAGACAAATTATAAATCTTCCTTCCGAAAATTTTATCAAGAAAATGTTTAAAATTATTTCTTATATGAGGTGACTATGTAAACTAACATATTTCAGCTGTTCTAGGGCCCTGAAATCAGCATATTACACTCTTAGTGCTTCTATAAATGGCACAGATCACACTTTGATAACCTTTAGAATATTTGAAAACAACAGATTTGGATACATTTGTGTTCGTTATCTCTTAAATAGCAGAGCTATGGCTTTGGTGGGTTATTTAAATTGTAATCTCAAACTTTTACAGGTTTAAAATGGAGATATTCACAACTAACTCCCACAATTAGAATAAACCTTGATATTACTCAAAATCCCAGTAAAGTGTATTACTGCTTTTCATGATATTGCTTCACACATTACTAGATTCAAATGCTATGAAAAATAGCCCCAGAACACAGATTTAATTTACTCGTTACTTCGGGATTCCTCTTCCTTGGTGGGCCGCTTTTTCAATTTAATTCCATGCCACAATTATTGCAGTGGCTACAATGAGAATAGGAAAACCAACATAGAAACCTAGAAGCCAATGCTTTTCAGCATTCAAGAATACTTCTTCCTGATTTAAACCTAAAAAATAAAAATATATTAAAACCAAACAAAAAAGCATACAATTTTACTTGCAAGTTGTCATAAATTATGAAGATCTTAATTGTTATTCAAGGAACATAGAAAAATAAATTTAGAATCATAATACTTGAAATTATTAATGGGAAGCCAAGTACCAGAAAGCTCCAAACTATGCAACATTATACAGCTACAGCAAAATTTCACTATAACACAATAAGGGGCCAATAAACTTCATTGATATATAATGCAGTATTGTCTATTTGCAAGGTCACAAATTTGCATTATTGCAAATTTTCAAAGGATTAGAATATCAAAGGATTTGTGGATTTCACAATTTTTCCTTAATATGTTGTTGGCTTTTGACATTAGGACTCTATTTTCACATACAGAGCCACTTCAGTGCTCCTCAAAGGGTACTGGAATAAAAATAAGGAGACTTGAGCCCCAACTCTAAATCTGTTACTTGTCAGTATCAGGTATACAGAACTACAGTCTCTCTAAGATCCGTGGGTTTCCTTTGCTCACTGTACATCGCCAGTGCCTACATCAGCAGCTGGCATATATTAAGACTGATAAATATTTGCTACCTCAATGATGGAATGAATGAAAGAAACTAAAACTATGGTAAATAAAATACTATCCTAGAGCAATTTGTATCCACTCTTAAGTAGTAATTTATAGATTCTTCTCATTTAAATGATAAACTTCAGAATAAAGTCTTATCTATTTTATTTTTCTACTAGTGTAACAGAAACACAGTAAAAGTACTAGACCAAGAGTAAATGTTCATTTTTGATTAATCATAAGGATGGGGAGGAAAATTGAAAATATTCTGAGAGAATATAGGTAATACTGATTGATACTGGTAAAGAGAAATTTTAAAGAATTCAATTTCAATCATAGTATTTCATTTTAGAAAAGAGCAAGCTGAAGATATATTTGGTTTCCATTCCTTAACAGAAGTCTGATACCTTTCCATTGCAAATATTAGACTCTCTGTTAATGGTAAGATCTAACTTGTGTTTTAGTGAAGACAAGCAATGGCTATCTATGGGGGTAGATAATTACCCTTTTCCTCAGGCAATAAACGTAATCCTCTGGCACGCCGTTGGCAATTTGGAGGTAGGAACCCTTGAGCACAAGGGCATGCCCCTTTGGAATTGCACACCTAGGATAAATTTTAGAAATTTAAATGATTAAAGTGTTTTTTCATAGAAAGTGAAAAATATGAGACGATCATTGTGCGTAATTTTATGACTTAAACTTGTTTACGTGGTTTATGTAGCAAATAATCCACAAATCAAATACTTGGTTTCTTAGACCAAAATACACTTTTAAAATAGAAACAGGAATAAAAGTATCTGTAAACTGAGGTTCACCATATTTACATTACAAACATTTAACACTTTCAAATGTCTATCAGCAAATAATGTGTGTGTTCGTTTTGAAGGAAACAGTGAGCCTTCCAGTGATGTGCTGGAGAGAACTTGGACAATCCCTCAGAGCTAACTGTGAATAGGTCTTCTCTTCTCCATGTTCAGTGAGGCCATGGTGTAGTTTGAAGTCTTCAGCACCACCAGATGAGAACTGCACCCTTATCCAGATAGCTGCTAAATATTAATCACTCTTAATCAGGACTGAGTTCTGTTTCATTTTTTCTTAAATTTATGTATAACATTTACTTTATTTGAAAAACGGAGATAAAGGTAGATAGATCATACAGAGAGAGAGAGAGATAGTGCTCTTTTATGTTGTTTCACTCCCCAAGTGCTCAAAACATCTGGGGATGGGCCAGGCTAAAGTCAGGAAACAGGAACTCAATCTGGATCTTCCACGTAGGAGGTAGGGACCCGAGTACTTGAGACCTTCACCCACTGCCTCTCAGAGCGCACATCAGCAGAAAGCTGGAGATGGGAACAAAGCCAGGACTCAAATTCAAGTACCCCAATATGAGATGCAGGCATCCCAGGGAAGTTTCTAACAGGTATACTTGTATGATGTGTAAAGAAAAGGCATTTTGTATTTCAAAGGGACATTAGATACATTCAGCATAACATTAGAAACCAATACTTTCTGCAGTCTAAATTAGATTGATAATAGTAAACACATGTGTTGTACTTACTGTGAATCTCTTTTCTGAGCACTATATTAATTTTCTCATTAAATCCACAAACAACCCTGTGATGTAGAGGCTATTATTGTCCCTTCTTAAAAGTTAAGATCAGGCATAGGTATTTAACTTGACAAAAGTCAAACTACTAATAGGTAGCAGAACCAGAATTTAAACCCATGGAATCTGGTTTCAGAGGCTCTACTTTTGACTACTATGTTATGCTATCTCTCAAAATAATATAAAATCTCTCAAACTCCTGGTCTTAATTGGATCTTAATCGCAATGTAAGAGCATACATATTTTACTCCTGTACAACTTCAAAAAACTTTTTAGGAGACACATGATGCCAATTTGTCCCAAGATATTGTCATTGTTTCCTTAATTTGACTCTTTGTTAAGATGCTGTCTTCCAAGATTTCCCACTACAATGTTCCAGTTGCAACACATAATTGATGAACCATTTTAGGGAAATATTTTGAACTTATGTAAATATCCAACTCACAAAATTTTTGCCTAGAAGTGAGAACTGAAACGAGAAGTTCAGACACCCATGTACCACATGGGAATGTTGGGTTGATTCTCAGCTCAGGTTCCTGATCCCAGCATCCTGGTAATACAGATCATTAAAGGTCATGAGGATTACTCAAATAACTGGCTTCCTGCCTCCATATGGAGACTTGGATTGGGTTCCTGGGTTTGGGTGCAGGCATTTTCAGAGTAAAGAAGAAGATGGTTGTTCTCTCTCTTTCTATCTTCTATCTCCCTCATTCTGCCTTAGAAAACATAGAAAACACTTTCACACCCTCGTTTCAGCACCTACTAATAATTATTTAATTCCATTTTTCCTTCTATACTGGTTATACTGTTGGGAATATATTTTCCTCCTCCACATTGATTTATTCAATTACTGCTATCATAATAAAGTAAGGGGCATTGCTATAACTATCATACATTTTCTTTTATTCAACCTGTTAATTGCTATTTATTAAAATAAAATTTTTCTTTTGTTTAGTGAGCCACATTTCATTAATATTATTATTTACAATGATGCCCAAATTCCCTCATATTTGTTAGTGGAAGTCTTTCAAGCTGGATTCTATCTCCTTTTGATATTCTCAACATTGTTTTAACTAATTTTTGATTGACGCATAATACTTAAGCATATGCATGAGGTACAATATGGTGTTTTTGATTCACATATGCCTTGGTTAATGATCAATTCAAAATAGTTAAGATATAAATTTCTTTAAACTTTTATTATTACTTTATGATGAATGTATTCAAAATCCTCTCCTAACCACTTTAAAATACACAATGCATTCTTGTTAACTATCACTCTTTGTGCCATAGAATACCAGAACTTACTCCTCCTATTTAAATGTAATAGTATCTGTTGAAGAACTTTTCCCCATCCCATTCCTCTCTACTTTTCCAGTAACCACTATTATACTCTCAACTTCTTTTTTAATAAAGATTTACTTATTTATTTGAAAGGCAGAGTTACAGAGAGAGAGAGAAAAAGAGAGAGATCATCCACTTGCTGATTTACTCTCCAAATGGCTGCTAGGCCAGGCAAAGCCAAGAGCCATGAGCTTCTTTCAAGTCTCCCATGTGAAAACAAGGGCCCAAGCATTTGGGCCATCCCCTGCTGCTTTCCCAGGTTCATATGGGATGCTGGCATCACAAATGACAGTTTTACCCACTATGCCACAATGCCACAACGCTGGCCCCATATATCCTCACCTTTTATGAAATCAGCTGTTTCCTCTTCTTTTCTTTGGTCTGACTGTTATCCCTCCCAGTATTTTTTTGTTTGTTTGTTCTACTTAATACTTTTGGTTGAATACTGTAATCAATACACAACTCTTCTTAAGTGCTGAAACTTAACTGAAAAGTGATCGCTGTTAAATATAAGAGTGGGAATCAGAGAGGGAAGAGATGTGCAATTTGGGACATGCTCAAGCTGACTTACCTCAAACGGTAGAGTTAGAAACATACCAGGGGATTCGAATTCAATCCCATCAAGGTGGCATGTACCAATGCCATCTCACTAGTCCCAGTGATCAAATTCTGTTCACAATTGATCGTAATGATAGGACTAAGAACCAAAGGGATCACATAAACAAGACTAGTGTCTGCAAATGCTAGCTGATAGAATCAAAAAGGGAGAGAATGATCCAACATGGGAAGTGAGATACACAGCAGACTCATAGAATGGCAAATGTCCTAACAGCACTCTGGCCTCAGAATCAGCCCTTAAGGCATGCAGATCCGGCTGAAATGCCCATGAGAGTATTTCAGGCATGGAAAGCCAAGACACTCTGGGGGGAAAAAAAAAAACCTAAATGAAAGATCTCTGCGAGTGAGATCCCAGTGGAAAGAACGGGTCATCAAAGAAGGAGGTACCTTTCTCTGAAGGGAGGAGAGAACTTCCACTTTGACCATGGCCTTGTCTAAATATGATCAGAGTCGGTGAACTCAGGGGGCTTCCATAGCCTTGGCAGCTCATGACAAGAGCCTAGGGTGATTACTGAGGCCATAAACAAGAGTGTCAATTTGTTAAGTCAACAACAGGAGTCACTGTGCACTTACTCCTCATGTAGGATCTTTGCCCTTAGTGTGCTGTACATTGAGATTTAATGCTATAACTAGTACTGAAACAGTATTTTTCACTTTATGTTTCTGTGTGGGAGCAAACTGTTGAAATCTTTCCTTAATGTATGCTAAACTGATCTTCTGTATATAAAGAGAATCGAAAATGAATCTTGATGTGAATGGAAGGGGAGAGGGAGTGGGAAAGGGGAGGGTTGTGGGTGGGAGGGACGTTATGGGGGAGAAGCCATTGTAATGTATAAGCTGTACTTTGGAAATTTATATTTATTAAATAAAAGTTAAAAAAAAAGAAATCAGCTGTTTCAGATTTCACATATAAGTGGGGTCCATATGGTAGTTGCCTCTCTGTGCCTGACTTCAAACATTCTTTGAATATTATCTTATTTTCTGGTGAAACAACATCTCAGCTTATCTAGTACTTTTCTTGTTCCAGTCCTTGAATCATCCTTATTTCCAAAGAGTTTTGGAGTCTTTTAATGAAGAATAGTTAGAAATTAAGACCTATGGTGCAGGCTTTTGGATCAGCATAAGAGGCTACATGTGCTGCCTGCATCCCATGTCAGGGTGACTAGGTTAGAATACCAGATCTGCTCTCAATTCCAACTTCCTGCTAATGTGTGCCCAGAAGGCAGCAAGTGATGGATCAAATGTTAGGGCCACTGACTCACACATGGAGACCTGGATGAAGTTCTAGGTTCCTGACTTTGAACCGCTCCAGCCTCAGTTTTAGTGGGCATTGTAGAGTGAAACAGCAGAAGAGACATCTTTCTCTCACCTTCAAATAAATAACAAAACTAAGCAAACTTTTTAACAAAAAAAGATATGAAGATCTAGGAGCTAAATATGTTCATTACTACTTGTATGTCATTAACTCTAGGCAGTCTTAACAAAAATATGCATGTGGGTATGTATGTTTCCTTGTGTCTATCCATACAGTCACACATGCAGGTATACATACACTATTATGTCTACCTACATATATATTAAATATAACAACTTAAAATAGGTCATGTCAACATGGAGGAAGATGGCAGAATAGTGACAGGGAGGTCTGCGCTAGGCTAGGCGAACTTACAGGGGGAAAAAAAAGTAGACAAAGTACACTCTCAGGGGCTTGTTGTAGGGAAACTGCAGTGGGAGTTTTCATGAAAGCATTGGAAATGCCTTAAACCTGAGCTGGTCTAATTACTAATTATTTCATTCTTCCTAATAATTTTAGGTTTGGTTTATTGTTGATGTTCTAGGTCCTTGTGATAGCTCATTTACTTGGTAACTTTCCAGTTTCTTCATGTAGGCACTGATTGCTAAGAACTTCCCTATTAATACTGCTTTGGCTGTATCCCATAGATTTGGATATGATATATTGTCATCTGCACCCAATTACACGACACCTGGCTATATAAAAGAAATGTTAACAGATCTAAAGAGAAACTACAATAGTA